TCACTGCCGCTGCTGGCCGCTCACGCTGGCTGCTGGCTACACATGGTAGCCCATGGCAACCCACTGCCGCAGGGGCTGCAGCCTACACCGACTCACAGCAGCCCAGCTCCAGGTTGAGCTGTTGCTCAGCATCTTAGCTGTAGAGGGCAGTGTCACTGGCCCTCATAGATGGGATCCGAACCGGGGCCCTCTGGCGTCCCAAGCCAGCTCTTAACCATCGCGCCACTCGCTGGCCGTTTTTAAAGGTGAATTCACTCTTGAAACTTCCGAGGTAGAGCGGTTTCCGGTGGTGAGCCACCTAGTTTTGGGAAGGCCCCTGAAGATTGAGAAGACAGCGAGAGAGCCTTGGTGACCTCTCCCCTCTCCCGGAAACAAGCCTGTTTCTCATGGTACAGCATTTTGGTCACCTTTCCACCGCGATGGAAATGTTCCCTATTTATGCTGTCCAGTAAGGTGTTCTCTAGCCACGTGTGGCTGGTGAGCATTTGAAATGTGTTGCTAGTGCAACCCAGGAACTGCATTTAAATTGTTAATTTTAGTTAGTCAAGTGCAGCTAGTACCTACCTCATTAAACAGCACAGAGCTTGACATGATAATACTCCAGATGTAGTCTAGGATGTTGAGTGTTTTTATTACTATGACATGATTTTTGTATCACGGAGAACTCCTTACGGTCATGGTTTCTGCCTTTATGAGGCATACATTTAGTTTCTTAGTAAAATGTACTGATTACAAAGCAAGCTCAATATTAAATGATATTTTAAAATTAAAGCATTTGAGGAGAAAAGAGACTCAACTTATTTTTATAACATCAGTTGAAAATGTGATGCTGAATGTTAAGGTGAACTTAGAATTCATATACCTGTTCTATAGTTGCCCATTGTCAGTGGTGATGCAGACAGGCCCCTGTGCTGTGCCAAATGAAGATAAGGATGAATGAGACCAGCTGCTTGGCCCCCAGAGGCTTAGAGTCTGCTGGGGAGAGGGACAAGAAACACTCCATTCAGTTAAATCATTTGTTCATAGTATTGTGTTTACAGGCCATGTTGTTTTCACAGTGTTATGGGAAGACGCAGACCCATGCACCTCTTACTAAGGAAGAAAGGGAGGGAAGGAAGGAGGAAGACAGGAGGGAAAAGAGGATAAGGAAATCTTGTAAGGTTAAAATGTGGGCTATTTTGTGGTGAATATGCGTATATATGGAGTAGGAAAAATATAAAGCCAAGCATTTGAATAGTGAACATGATACTAGAAAACCAAGGACTTGTCCTGTCTCTGCCTCTTCTGAGGGGTGGGAGCTGCCTTAAATCCTCCCCACTGATTGGATTTACACACGTTATTTATAAAGTATGTATCCAGAGTTTTCTATAAAGTAGTAACAGTGTGACCTGAGCAAGCCTCAGATGAAACAGCTATAAATTAGGGAAGATGGGATATTGATAACTTTCTTTTCGTTCAGCTTTAAGAAGGAACCTATCCAATGACACTTGCTTTTGCCTGCTTTTGAGGATTTCACAGAAATGTGACATTGCATTGTCGTTAAACAGGTTCATCGCTTGCACTGCTACAGCCTTATTCGAGTGGGGATTTTCTACAAAATTTTGCACTATTTCCCACATTTTACACATCTCCATAATTTCATTTGAAGTGAGGGTTTCCTCCGCCTTTTTCTCCTCCTCTGCAGAAACCTCCAAGCATGAGAGATGATCACCCACAATCCCACAGCGAAAGTGAGAGAGCCATTGGCTCAGTTGTGATCACGTGATGTTCAGCATCATGTACTACTCGTATTGCAAGACATAGCTCATTTATCAAGTTAAAATTTATTAGAAACGTTTGGATGTTTTGTGGAACACTCGCAGAACAAGTTACTCGCAATCCAAGGTTTTACTGTATTAGGTGTCAGGATGGTGATTGTGATACATGTTGTCTAACTTTCTCTTCTTTTTAAGAAATGGAAGAACTGGCAGAACATGGCATATTTCTCCCTCCTAATATGCAAGGACTGACTGATGACCAGGTTGAAGAATTGAAGTTAAAGGACGAATGGGGTGAAAAGTGTGTGCCCAGTGGAGGTTCACTCTTCAAAAAGGATGATATTGGACGAAGGAATGGGCAAGGTGATCCAGCGTTTTTTCACTCTGTGCGTTCCTGAATTTAGCAGCAAGTATGAAAGCGGTTCTTTAAGTTAAAAATTGACCTCAGTACTTCTATACAAGCTTATAAAGTATTGCAGTGCACCCTGTGACTCTTTGTGGTAAAACACCAATCCCTAATGAGCTCGGTGGATCAAGGAAGCATCCTCCTCCTTGCTTTTCCTAAGTTGCACCTAGCTTTGAAATGTATCTGATGAACCGTTTGCAGTTACCATTTTTGTTGATCACAAATAGTTGAAAATTGACAATTTCATATAGTTCAACCTAATAGTTTTTTTTTTGGTGTAATCACTGAACACGTATTGAAGGTTGTGTTTTATTATGGTTCGCAGATACTGGGGTTAATGTAGAGATTCTGTGTGAAAGAAAGAGGTGAATGTCAGTACATGACTCTCCGTTGGGATGGAGGACATGCCTCCCTGGCGCAGAGCCCTTAGTCCATGGCAGAGCGCCGAAGACATGGTTCTTCTCCTTTTAGCATACGATTGGTTGATCATGTGGAATTTGAAGGAAAAAAGGATGAGAACTCATTTTCATAGATTGTCCTTTTTAATCTGTATAGAAAGCTCCATTTAAAAGATCATAATTAAGGGCCGGCCGAGTGGCTCAGCTGGTTAAGAGCTTCCTCAAAAGTGCGAGCTCTGAGCAACAGCGGTTCGAGTCCCGACCTGAGCTGAGCTGCCGCTGAGCTGCCAACAGGTGGCGGGATGGCTCAGCTTAAAAAAACAAAAAAAAAAATCATAATCGATCATTTAACAAACACCTAAGTATCTGCGATGCCCCTAAAACACTGCTAAGAGCAAGAGAAATACAGGTGTCCCCCCAAGGTCTTTACATGCTCGGAAAATAACAGAGGGTGTCAAAAAAAATGTATACGCATTTTAAGAAAGGAAAAAACTGTATTAAAATTGTAATACCCAATATATACTGATAACAAAAGATAAAGACAAGTCACGTTTGACTTCTGCAATTACAAGAGGTGCTCAAAGTGGTTACCATTGGTGCAATTTTAATAGTTTTTTCCTTTCTTAAAGTGTGTATACATTTTTTTGGTACCCCTCTGTATATTTTTTTAAATACTGGGGGTAATAGGAATTTTTAGTATTATTTCCTTTGACTTTTTACCTGGAATATGGTTGGTTGTCTTCCACATCTTTTCATACCTAAACTCATTCTCAGTTTGGAGAGATTCTTTGCTTTTAGAAGGAATTGCATCAATGAAAAAAATATATATCTCTCATAAAATCCAGTTAACAGTTCATTATTCATCTTTAAACCAATTGTCTTAAATTACCCATTAGTATTCTAGTAGAGTTTTTATATTCTAGTATTTTCAATGTCTGATTAACACTATTCTTAAGAATACTGTGTAAGGTTTGAACTTGCCCCATCTCACTTAGATCTGGATAGCCCATCTCCATTGTTTTTGCTTCTAAACTTACAAGTTACGATTTTGTTTTTTCTGTGTAGGGGTGGGCAAACTGTGGGTCACAGGCCACATTTGGCCAGCACTTGTTTTTGTAAATAAAGTTTTTCTGGAATGCAGCCACCCTATTCACTTGAGAATCGTGTATGGCTGCTCTCATGCTACTGTGACAGAGTTGAGTGGCTGCAAGAGAGACCGTGTAGCCTGCAAAGTTTAAAATATTTACCACTGGCCCTTCACAGAAAAGGTTTGCCAACCCCTACCTGCCTGATGACATTTATTCCTGTTCTTTGTGGCCTTTGCTGCTTTGCATAAAGCACACTCCAGCTCTCTGCTCTCACGAGGAGACTTTTCCCTAACTTCTCACAGCCAGCTTTCTTGTGTCCCCACCTAAATTCTGTACTTGTTCTTTCCCTCATTTCACGTACTCCCCGACTCAGACTGAAGGGATTGGGATATTGAATAAGAGTTTTAAAGATGGCTGCCTCTCTCCCTTTTCCCTTTTTTATTTTTATAGCTCCAAATGAAAAAATGAAGCAAGTTTTAAAGAAGACTATAGAAGAAGCCAAAGCAATAATATCTAAGGTTAGCTTTTTAAAATGCTGCTGCAAAGCTTGTCTTTTGAAATACAGACTCCAGTTATGGCTTCCAGAGTTACCTGTCGACGAGCCTTTTCTTTTTTCCTTTTTAAGCCTTCCAGAGACAAGGGAAACAGGCTTGTTTGGGGTGGGCCCTAGCTTATCCTCCCAGTCCCCACAGGTCACAAAAAATGTTCTTGTCTCATGTCAATGCGATTCCTGTGTGGTACAGATATGAACTGATGCAAATGTGACTTTGTTTCCTTTATCTTTTTGAAGAACTTGAGAAAGTGAAAGGCTGTGGTGGACATGACTGAGTCCCTGAGTTAGATGGTAGTCACTTCAGTACAGGCACTGTTTGGTCCTTTTGGTGGCTCGGGCAGTAGCTGTTGAGGGTCTTGTAGGAAACTTGATAAATAGTTGTTGAATTGATCAGTGGCATTGAAGGTAATGGTGCCTGTCCACTTTCAGAAACAAGTGGAAGCCAACGTCTGTGTTACCATGGAGATGGTGAAAGATGCCCTGGACCAGCTTCGAGGGGCAGTGATGATCGTTTATCCCATGGGCTTGCCGCCGTACGACCCAATCCGGATGGAATTTGAAAATAAAGAAGACTTGTCGGGAACTCAGGTATGTGGCTGTTGGGTATTCTGTAAGGAGAGTTCGCAGCCCCTTAAAGAGCAGAAGCCCCTCGGGTTTGACCCTGCTCTTCTGGGTGTAGTTTTTTGCTTCACACATAGCTTCATATCTTGCTGTGTTGAGCTTCTGAACCCAGGGGAGGACCCCGAGAGGGTGGTGCTCATGGTGAGGGCTGGCTCGCACACACACAGCGGCAGGAGATGAGGCCTGGGAGGCTAGCCTGTCAGGAGTAACTGAAAACACTGCCATTTTTTGGCCACCAGAAAGAAACCTAATTTGTGCCTGTTTCTGCGCAAATGCATTGGTCCCTTTGCATGGAATTTTGTGTTCTAGCTTTACCCCTTGCTTCCTATTATTTTCTACTTTTATGTTCCATTTCCCTTTGTTTGTCTCATTTATTCCTTATCCTTTCGGACAGTGTCTGTTCCTCTGAGCCATTTCAAGTAGGTGGAATGTGCAGAAGTAAACCAGCAGCCCCATTGTGGCTATATTTACAAACCCAGCAGGATTCCAGGATTCTTCCCTGGCAGTATTCTCAGAGTCCATCGAAGAGGGACCTTATGTTATGGATGAGGGTGCAGCCCAGACAGATACTCCCCACTTCCCAGAGCAAGACGTTCCCCCGAGTCAGGGCATGAGTTGAACTACCAGGGAAGGTACTGCAGTGAGTGAGGGCTGTGAGTAGGTGGGGAGTTCGTGCTGCCCACGGGAGGCTCAGAGACGGCAGGTTCCGGAAGCCTTCCCCCTGCTGGGGCCACCAGCCAGGCTCCGTGCACCTGGGGTGGGAACACATCTGTGGCTGTGTCATGATAGCCTTAAAGCGGGTTCTTCCATGGCCCCAGGCAGAACTCAGTGTCATTGAAGAATCCCAGGCACAACTGTGGTGGGCAGCCAAGGAGTTAAGAAGAACAAAGAAGCTTTCAGACTACGTGGGCAAAAATGAAAAAACCAAAATTATCGTCAAGATTCAGCAAGTAAGTACTTTTGCCTTAAGAGGTCACTTTTTTATTTACTTTCAAACTGATAAAAATTTACAATAAATCTGAAAGAGTTTAAACTCCTTGTGCAAATACTTTAATCCTATTGGCCCAGACTTAAAGTAAAACTATCCTCTTATGTACCGACCAGAACTGGAAGAAAATACAGATTGCTTGACAGGGTCTGGGGTTTGTTTTCATTGGGAGGGGGAATGCCATGTGAATTTCAGCATTAATGAATAGGGCTACAGTAAATAAAAATATTTCTTGAAGTGAAAAATCCAGCACAGAGCACTGATTTCAAGTTTTTCAAAGTGCTTGTGCTCTGTACAGGAGAAGGAAGGTTAGAGGTGGTAAGGATCTAATGTGAGCTGTGTACCTGCAAGGCTGCTCTGGTTGTGTGCTCTCTCCTACATCATTACTCTAATTTCAGGGAGACAGGGTCCCCCACAATTACCTCTGTCTCTTCCCCACTGGACCTGCGGTGGCCAACTTGGGAATGACTGTGACCGAGTGGCATTACGCATCCCCTGGTCTCCATCCACCAGGAGGCCTAGAGCGAGGGGCTGCTGAGGACCAGGTCTGCCCCTGATGAGACGCTCTGGGTGGTCAGGAATGGACGACCTCTTTATCTTCAGCAGTTAGCAAAGGCAGTTGTAATACATTCGCTGTAACTTGAAGCGTTGTCCCTGTAAGAATGCCTTGATCCACAATTTGCTCTTCCCTCATCTTTGCAGAGGGGACAAGGAGCACCAGCCCGAGAACCTATCATTAGCAGTGAGGAGCAGAAACAGCTGATGCTGTATTATCACAGAAGACAGGAGGAACTCAAGGTATCCGGTGATAGATGGGCTTTCCACACAGCTGGCGCCTGGGGCATTCACCCCCATGCCTTACCCAAGGGGGCTGGGACAATTTGGGGGGCAGTGAGTTTTGCAGGATGTGGAGGGGGCTTTCTAGAGCTTCAGCGTCTCCAGGACTGCAGGGGCTCTGCCAGGTGCCCCCCTGTACATTAGAGCCTGGAAGTGTCCTGCTCTGGGAACGGGGGGCAGGGGCGGTTGGTCATAGCTTCCTTTCTTCAGTCTCTTTATAGTCAAAACACTTTCCTGAAATGCCTTCCTGAACAAAACATTTATTTCCAGAAATTGGAAGAAAATGATGATGACTCCTGTTTAAATTCTCCATGGGCAGATAACACTGCTTTGAAAAGACATTTTCATGGAGTAAAAGACATAAAGTGGAGACCGAGATGAAGTTCACCAGTTGATGAAACTTTCAAAAATATTAGCTTACCTCTCTTTTGGCAAAATAATAATAACAACTAAAAAGGATATTTGCAACCCTCTGTGTGAAACATGTTGAAATTTCTAGTTTTCCTAGTTTTTCTTTTAGTTTGAATTAAAGGTTATAGAACTTAATAAATGCATCCTCAAAAAATGTGCCTACATCATCATCATCATTATTATTATTTGTTTCTGATTTGTTTATTTTGTTCTTTAGATTCCACACATAAGCAAAATCACGTTGCATCTGTCTCTGTCTGACACTCCACTCAGCACAGTACCCTCCAGGTCCATCCAGGCTGCTGCAGATGGCAAGAACCCATTCCCTTCCATGGCCGAGCAATATTCCACTGTATATATGTACAGCCTCCTCTTTATCCATTCTTCCATCCACAGACACCCGGGCAGCCTCCACATCTTGGCCATTGTAAACAATGCTGCAATGAACACATGGATGCACAGGTCCCCTTGAAGTAGCATTTTGAGTTTCTTCAGATACATACCCAGAAATGGGATTACTGGGTCCTTCTTTTTTTCTTGTTATAGACTTTGTTTTAAAATCTATTTTGTTTGGTATAAGTATCACTACCTCAGCTTTTTTTTTTTTTTTTCCGATTTTCATGAAATATCATTTTCCATCTCTACTTTCTATCTCCGTATGTGTCTTTCAATCTGAAGTGATTCTTATAGGCAGCATATGTGTTTTGTTTTCTTATCCATTCAGCCCTCCTGTGTCTTTTTTTTTTTTTTTTTTAAGATTTTATTGGGGAATGGGGGAAGGGGAACAGCCAAGTTGTTGTCCTTCAATCTTAGTTGTGGAAGGCGCAGCTAGCTCAGCTCCAAATCCAGTTGCCATCCGACTGCCCATCGGCAGCTCAGCGGCAGCTCAGCTCGGGTGCAGCTCACTGGCCCACGTGGGAATCAAACCGGCGACGCTGTTGCTCAGAGCTTGCGCTCTTAACCAACTGAACCACTCAGCTGGCCCCTGTGTCTTTTTGATTGGAGCATTTAATCCATTTACATTGAAAGTAATTGTTGATATGTAACTATTGCCATTTTATTATTCATAATTTTGATCTTTTTTCTGTCTTAAAGAAGTCCCTCTAACATTCCTTATAATACTGGTTTGGTGGTAATGCATTCTTTTAGCTTTTTCTTGTCTGGGAAGCTCTTCATCTGTCCTTCAATTTTAAATGATAGCCTTGCTGGATAGAGTAGTCTTGGTCGTAGGTCCTTACTTTTCATCACTTTGAATATTTCCTGCCAGTCCCTTCTGGCCTGCAGAGTTTCTGTTGTGAAATCAGCTGACAATCTTATGGGAGCTCCTTTATAAGTTACTAGTTGCTTTTGTCTTGCTGCTTTTAGGATTCTCTTTTGTCTTTAATCTTTGTCATTTTAATTCTAATGTGTCTTGGTGTGGACCTGTTTGGGTTTATTGTGTTTGGGACTCTGTCCTTCCTGGGTTTGTATGTCTTATTTCCTTTGTCAGGTTAAGAAAGTTTTCAGGGGCTGGCCAAGTGGCTCAGCCGGTTAAGAGCTCGCTTGGGAGCACCAGCTCTGAGCAGCAGGGCTGCGGTTTGGATCCCACATTGAGGGCCGGTGACGCTCACCCTCTACAGCTAAGATGATGAACTAAAGCTCGACCTGGAGCTGGGCTGCCAGCGACGGCGTAGGCTGCCGTGAGCTACGTGAGTGGCTGGCAGCCAACGTGAGCGGCTGGTAGCCGGTGTGAGCTACCGGGAGCCGCTGTGAGCAGCCGACCAATGACTGGCGACTGATTGCCTCACCCGGGAAGAGCACAATGATCATACCAACATGGGCCAGTGAAGCGACGTCCTCCATAACTAGACTGAAGAACAAAATAGCAATTTGTCTACCTGCCTGTTCCCCTTCCCTGATTCCCCAACGCTGTTCTCCTCCCCCCAATTCCCCAAGAAAATCTTTAAAAAAAATTTTTTTTTCGGTCATTTTTTCAAATAGGTTTTCAATTCCTTGCTTTCTCTCTTCTGGTACCTCTATGATGGGAATGTTGTTATGTTTGATGTCCCAGAGGTCTTTTAAATTATTTTTTTTAATTATTTTTTTCTTTTTTTGCTGTTCTGATTGGGTGTTTTCTGCTACCTTTGTCTTCCAGATCTCTGATTAGATCCTCTGCTTCAACTAGTCTGGTGATTCCTTATAGTGCATTCTTCATTCCAGTTATTGTATTCTTCACTTCTGACAGTATCGCACAGCTTCTTTTTTTAAAAGATTTTATTGGGGAATTGGGGGAGGGGAACAGCACTGGGGAATCGGGGAAGGAGAACAGACAAATTGCTGTCCTTTTGTTCTTCCATCTAGTTGTGGAGGACGTTGCTTCACTGGCCCATGTTGGTATTATCATTGCACTCTTCCCAAATGAGGCAGATTGGTTGCCAGTCATTGGACAGCCGCTCTTGGCAGCTCACACCAGCTGCCCGGCCACTCACGTTGGCTGCCTGCCACTTACGGTAGCTTATGGCAGCCCACTGCAGCAGGGGCTGCAGCTTACACTGTTGCCGGAAACTCACAGGAGCCCAGCTCCAGGTTGTTCACCATCTTAGCTGTAGAGGGCGCAACGTCACTGGCCCTCATGTGGGATCCGAACCTGGGCTCTGCTGCTCAGAGCTGGTGTCCCAAGCCTGCTCTTAACTGACACGCCACTCGGCCGGCCCTCTCACAGGTTCTTTTTAATGGTTTCTATGTCCTTTATTTATTTATTTTACTTTTTTTTTTTTTAGCTGAGCCATCCTGCCACCTGTTGGCAGCTCAGCAGCTGCTCAGCTTGGGCCGGGGCTCGAACCGCTGTTGCTCAGAGCTTAAACCCTTGAGCGAGCTCTTAACCAACTGAGCCACTCGGCCGGCCCTCTCTGTGTCCTTTTTTATGCTTGCAGTCTCTTTGTTGAAGTTAGGTTCCTTGAGCATTCTTGTATTCATTGTTTTGAACTCTGTATCTCATAGTTTGTTTGCCTCCATTTCATTTAGTTCTTTTTCTAGAGTTTTCTGCTTTATTTGGGACATAGTTCTTTATTTCCTCATTTTAGCTGCCTCTCTGTTTGTATGTATGAGGTAGATCTGCTATGTCTCCCAGTCTTGGCCGGGTGGCCTTATGTAGTAGGTGCTCTGTGGGGCCCAGTGGCACAGTCTCCCTGTTCACCTGCTCCGGGTGCTCCAGGAGTGTCCCTTGTGTGGGTTGTGTGTGGCTTCCTGTTACAGTTGAGTCTTGATTGCTATTGGCACCTCAGTGGGTGGGCTTGACCCTCAGGGTGACTGACTGTGGGGTTTGGCCACATCTATAGCTTACGGGCTGCTGTGCGGGGGGCTTACCCCACTGAATGGGATTTGCCCCAGTCGGCTCTAGTGCCTGTTGAGACTGCCCTTTGTGTGTGCCACTTGTGAGGCTAATTGGGCAGTGCTCTGCTGTGGCCTGAAGCCAACCTCCAAGTGTGTTGGTTCTGGGGCCTCCTTGGAGAGGCTCTGGTGAGGGCCCAGGTTACCCACTGCCTGTGACCAGTCAGGGACTGCCTGGTAGGAGCTACAAGGTGATCCGCAGTGTTTCACTGACTGTGCTAAATCTGGAAGCACATGGGAGAAGTCACACTGCAAACCGAGGACAGCTGCCACCAGTACTGGGCCTGGGGCAACTCTGCACAAAGCCAGGACACCCAAAGGCCTGCTGCCACCTGCTAGCTCCCTTAAAGTTCAGCCACTGATGTAGCTCCTGCTGTAAGCAAGTTGGATGAGGCAGGGTCTCAGGGAGTCACTACAGTGGGAAGCATTGTGGTCACCAGGTTAATGTAGACTCTGGTTTGGTGCTAGTGCTGAGCCTGGAGCTACTCAGCAAGTCTCAGAGCACAGCAAGACCAGTTGCCTGCCTCGGGTCTGTGGACTCCAATAGTTTACCAAGAAAGTGCAATGTGGGCAGGGCTGGCTGCTCTAGAGAAAGTGCCTCAAGCGTTGGGGGAGTTGGATGGGCAGGGTTCCAGTGAGTTGGCAGGGTGGAGCCCCTGAGCTCACCAGACCAATCAGATTCAGATTTGGCTGTAAGTGTAGGGGGCGAGCTCAACACATTAAAGATGGCGCCGCCTGCCAGCTGCACAGGAAGAGGACTCCTCACAGAGAAAATGGAACTGGCCTCCAAGCCACACGCCTCAGTCTGCTCCCTGTATGCTTTTGACACCCCCTGAATCACTGTCCCTCTGCTGGAGCCCAAGGTGAGTGCCTGTGAGCAAGTGAGTCTGTGCGTGGGTTGTTTAAGAGGACATCTGGGTTTCCTGCAGCCTTCAGTCCCAACCAGCTGGTTGGAACCCCCACTGTTTTTCACAGCCGTATGTTTTGGGGGTTCCTCTTTCTGGCACCAGTACTGTGGGGTGGGGAGCCTGGGTGGGGGGCTGGGGTCCTTTGCTCCTCTGGGGGGAAGCTCTGTGGCTGAGGTATCCCTCCCAATTTTCATCCGCTGCGTGGAGGTTTGGGACTATCCTGTTTCTTGTCCCTGCCTCTTCTACCAGTCTTGATGTAGCTTCTTTATAGCCTTAGATATAAAACTTATCTAGCCAGACTTCAGATGGTTCTCCAGGTTGATCTGTAATTTAGTTGTAATTTTAATGTGCGCATGGAAGAAAGCCGGTGCAGTGTTTATCTGCTCTGCCATCTTGGGTCTCCTCTAAATTATTTTTATTTAAGGACTATTTAGTATTGAGGTTCTTCTTTGCCAAAATACTAAGGATTTAATTACTTACATTTTTTCTTCCTGATTATTTTATATTCTCATCAGCTGTTGTATTGGAGGAAATCAAGAGTGCCTTTTCCTTCTCTGTAGAGTCCAATATCTGATGTGAAACTTAGCCATCAGTGGCCACTAGAGGCCGCCAGTCACTTACTTGTTCCACGTTTTTCTTGGGTCCTCTGTAGATCTGTGTGTGTGTGGGGGGGGCCAGTTCTCAACCTCCTTTGAGAGATGTCTGTAACCCTGCTGGAGGGTGTCACTAGCCTGGCGTCTCCCAGCTACGAAGGTGACGTTTACCTCCTGGCGGATGCCTGACTGCCCTTGCACTCCTTGAGTAAAGGCCACATCTGTGATGAAAGCTGGGTAGTCAATCTTGTCTAACGTTGAAACAACAAATTCGTATTTTCTGGGCTTTTCC